TATGGGGCTTATACCGAACTGCGGCAAGACAAAAAACGCCCTGGGGAAGCCAGGGGAGGAATTCAACCTGGGAATCATCCTAGGCACCAGGACACACCTTTTGCATTCCATAAGTGTGGTAATTGTCCCATGTTACAACTTAAATAAACTTAAATTACATGATGAACTAAAACCAAAGATAATTCTTACTCAAATTAAAAATAAAATTAAAAATATGTTATCTTATACTAAATTACAAAATACTTATTTAAAAAAACAAAAATCCCAATCAAACTCAAACATCTATTGCACTCTAGCCTTAACCTGGGAATCTCCAGCTCACTAAATTCTACATTGTCTCGATTTAATCTTTGATGTCCCCTACATGTCACTCGCTATGCTCCTCATCAACAACAAACTCAATTTGATCCCTCTTCAGTCCTCATCACAATTATCGCTGGCTACAAGCACACATAAAACAAATGAATAATTTGCCAGCCTCAAGTATCAACTCCTTGTAGTAGGATTTGGAGTTTTATTTGAGGTTGCATGTTAGACCTCCACATCCTGCTAGCCAACAAGAAGGGTTAAATCCATTAATCATTTTGCATTTAATCTAGTCCTTATTTTTCGACCACATGAATCTTATGGTTTTTTGAGATCTTGTGAATTTTAATGTTTATTCCTTTATATCAATAATCAATTATCATAAGCAGCTAATAATTAAAATAGAGGAATTAGTTTGTGCAGCTTGACTATTAAAATAGATTTCGCAAATCAAAATTTTTGCTATATATAATAAGCAAGCCTCAACAACAACAACAACATCAAGCATTTGTCCCACTACGTGGGGTCGGCTACATAAATCTTTTTTTCTCCATTATGTCCTATTAAAAGTCAAATTGTCGTTTAAATCTAATAAAAAAATATCATTTCTAATATTTTCTAACCAAGTCTTTTTATGTATACCTCTACTTTTCTTAACATAAGTCAAATCTAATGCCTCTACTTTCCTAACCGGGTCATAGGAAGGCGGTCGTTTTACGTGACCAAACCATCTAAGGCGACTCTCTCTAATCTTATCTTCCACTGGAGCTACCCCAACCTTTTCACGTATATGCTCATTTCATATCCTATGTCTAAGGGTAAAGCCACACATCCACCTGAGCATCCTCATCTCTGCAACGCTTAAATTAGTATTATGCTTCTCTTTTAATGACCAACATTCAACATCATAAAGCATTGCAGATCTCACCACCATCTTATAGAATTTTTCCTTAAGTTTGAGGGGGACTTTTCTATCACACAACAAACTCGATGCAATCCTCCACTTGAACCATCCAACTTGAATTCTGCTGATAATATCTCCATATATTTCACCATCACTCTGAACAATTGATCCAAGATATCTAAAACATGCACTTTTATTAATGACTTGATCGCCCAAAGTCGCAATCCCCTCACTAAGTCTATTACTACTAAAATTACACTTCATATATTCAATTTTAGATCTACTCAACCGAAAACCATTAGACTCCAAGGTTGACTTCCATAATTCAAGTTTACCTTCAACTCCCTCTCTAGCATTATCAACAAGAAGAATATCATTAGCAAAAAGCATACACCAAGGTACATCCTCTTGCAAATGTCTAGTGAGAACATCCATGACTAAAGCAAAAATATATGGGCTTAAGGCTGATCCTTGATGTAATCCAACCGAAATAGGAAAATACTTGGTCAAACCACCTTGTGTTTGAACACAAGTAGTAGCTCCTGCAAACAAATCTTTAATGATTTGAATATAAGCGTTATTAACTCCTTTCTTTTCAAGAACTCTCCATAGCACTTCTTTTGGAACTTTATCATATGTCGATCCTCTTTATTCTCTCTATATTTCTCCACCAAACCTCTCAATAAATGTATGGCTTCCATAGTAGACCTACCTGGCATGAATCCAAATTGATTTTGAGAAACATTAGTACACGCCGCAACCTACGCTCCATAACTCGCTCCAATAGTTTTAAAGTATGACACATTAACTTAATTCCTCTATAATTCGATCACTTTTGTGCATCACCTTTATTCCTAAAAATATGAATTAACACACTCATTCTCCACTCATCTGGCATCTTTTTAGTCTTTAAAAAAATATTAAAAAATTTAGTAAGCCAAGAAATTCCTTCATCTCCAAAGCATTTTTTTTAGAATCAGCTAGATGGTGTTTCACTTCTATTAATTGATGTATTGTAGATTTGATTGCAAAACCTACATCTGAAATAATTTTTCTCAGGCTTACTTATTGTATAATTGCAATCAAATCTACAATACATCAATTAATAGAAATGAAACGCCATCTAGCTGATACTAAAAAGAGGATTAAATATTGTCATAAAGTCCCAAATGATGTTCAGAAAAAATACAAGAAGGATGGGAAGATTCTGCAAATGTAAAAGTCAAATGTGATGATGAATTGAATGAGGTTTGAACGTGCAAAATACTAGTACATTTCCATCAACTTAATCCATACAAAGCAGAAATTCAAGTTTGGGAAAATTACATTTGTCACCAATTGCACTAGGTCTAATTTATAGTTTACAAACACGCAAACTAAGGCAACTCATTCTTAATTCTAAATGGAAGAAAAGTGAGAGAAAAAAAATGCAAAAGAAATAGTAGATTTTTCTACTCCATGGACTAGCCTTTATTGTTTCTTACCAAAATTTGAAGCAATTGCTAACTATGAACCTGGTTTTGTGCTTCCTACAACACATGCTTTACAAACTTAGATGCTCAAGGATGAGGTTGCTAGCATCAAATAAGATCTTGGGAGAGCATAAGAAGGCATTGAAGTAATATGGATGATCTATAATGTCAGATTTGACATAAGGAAAAAGTAGAACTTAAATTAATTCTCTTGGTTAGCCCTTATGGGGCATGATCCTTAAGGTTCACGAAACTACGCATGCTTCCGATGCCATTAAAATTAGAGAATTATTGTTCAATTATTGGGATGATATTATTGAAATAGGGTAAAAAATGTAGAATATAACAAATCATGATTCAAATCTCATGAATGTTAGAAAAATATTGATAGAGAAAATGAAGCATCTTTATTAGCCACTGTATGCAACACATTATATTGACCTTATACTAGAAGATAACATTGGATAGCTAAAGGTTCATCAAAACACTTGCAAAATCTAAACATGCAATGAAGTTTATCCATGGCACACATGGATTCTTGATTTGATGAGATCATTCACGAGAACCAAGAGCTCCTTTGTCTAGGAATAACTCAATTTGCTCTGCAATTTTTACAAACAAAAGCATCAAGTTCAATTTATGATGTCATTTAAAGTTTGGTTTTCTAATAAATTGGCTCAAAAGCTAGAATAAATAAAAAAACTAAAGCCAATATTATATTTGATTCACATTTTGGGGGCATCCTGATTGTTATATTAAGAGCATTGCTCGGTTGCTCCTCTTGTGAGTGTGCTAAGAGAAGTTGATGCAAATAAAACTCAACTATTGCAAACTAAAAACAAATTTGTTCCGTAAAACAATATAACCATGCTATTTTTAAATTAAAACAGAACTCAATGACACCCTACAAATATGACTCAAATACACCTTACAACTTTTAATAGTTTGAAAAGAAAGATATATGTGGAATGAAAACCGTGAAGAGAAGAAGTAGATAGAAGACCGAAACAAAATAAAACAAGTAACATAGAGACTAAAGATGACAGTTCGCAAGCTAAAAACCCGCAGGTTTCACATTCCAACAATTCTTCACATATCACTCCATTTTTTTCACAAAGAAATTCAACCCGAATTTATAGGAGGACGAAAGGGGAAGGGCATTTATTATCCCACATAAATGTGCCACCAAAAAAGCCACTAAAACCTTTCCAAATCAGCCCATTTAATGAGGAGTTAATGCACAGTATAGGAAAACATCAAGGTGGAAATCGAATAGCTAGCAATATAAAAAAAGGGGACTGCAGCATGGGGAAAGCAACCAAAATAGGGAAAGGCAACAGCACGAAAACTAGGACATCGACATGGGGAAAACAACCAGCATAAGGAAAGGCAATAGCATGGAAAACAAGACAGCAATATGGGGAAAACAGCCCAGCATAGGGAAAGGTAGCAGCATGGAAAACGAGCAGACAACAAAGAAAACGAGAACACAGGAGAAAAACTATGTGGACAATAGGGAAAGTTACAGGAGAAAGAGATCTAGAAACATAAGTGAAAAATTATTAAAAAAAAAAACATAGAATAGCTAGCCTTGACTGCATCAGAAATTGTCTAAGAAAAAGGCTAGGTATGAAGCAATGTTTGATTAATTTTACAGAAAGAATGCTAGATTATTGATATTACCTTAAAGTTGATATTTAGTTGGATCTATACAGCCATTTAAGTGGTGAATTTTATAGTAAGCTGGTTATGTATTCAATAAATTTAAGATCACCTACTAATTGATGGATATGAAGTGATTATAAAATATATTGTGATAATCGAGCTTTAAATAAGTAGCTCATTTAGAAAAATAAATTTGTCTTATTGAGCCAATAAATGAGCTAAACTATCAAGCTATTTGTTGGCTAAAAAAACAAATCTTATCAAGCCAAATAACGAGCGCAGTTGGCAAACAAAACAAATTAGTCTTATCAAGCTTATAAACTAGCAAAACAATTAAGAATCTTGTTAGCTAACCATATGAGCCTTATCAGGCCTGTTAAAGATCAGGTTATCCAACTTAGAAAATAAGACTTTCAGTGAATGAGCTTTTAACTGAAAAAATTAAGGGGCTGTTTGGCAACAGGATTTATGCAGGATTTGAGCAGGATTTATGCTAAGTCCTGCCAAACGGGATTTGAGCGCCCCTTAAATCTCATGGCGGAATAAATCCCCCGCTTCCCTCTTGTTTCCGTAAATCCCGGATTTACTAGATCCTCTAGTTCGGCGGATTTACGGGATTTGGCCGATAAAGCGCGCGAAAGGGAGAAAGTTACCTTCACAGCCAGCGAGCTCCCGTCGTTGCTTCCGATCAAAATGTTGTAACTTCCGATCCGACAGGAAGGTAAAGTCGTCGAAGGAGCGAAGTCGAACAGCAACGAAGGAGCCCAAGAAGCGACTCGTACAATGTCTACACCACCTGCGAAGCAACGAAGCCGAACAGCAAAGACGAGAAATGAAAGGCAACCCTAGACGCCACTGTTATTGTTGATTAACTTAACTAATATACTTTAAAATATTAATAATTAAGTAAATTAATTAAATAATTAATAATATAATTAGTGTATAAATTAATTATCTAACTTAACTTGATTGAATAATTAATAATTAAATATTAATATAATTAACTTATTTAATATAATTTAAATAATCAATATTAATTTGTCATGTGCCAATTATATTATATAAATTCAAATTATTTTCTTATATTGTACGCAATTATCTTGAATTTTTACCTTTTTTTACATTTAAATTCCTAACTGCCATTAATTATAAAATATGTTATCAAAAAAAATTTCAGGATTTAATAGAATTTAACATTTGTCATGCCAAACATTTTTCATGATTTATTAAATCTGCCAAAGAGCTCGTAAAAATATGCATTCAAACTAGTATTTAAAAGAAGGAAGAACAAAACTCACTATTATTTTTTCATTGTTTAGATTGACATAGACACACTTGAACAGTTATATATATATCATAAAAAAAACTATACACCACTTTAGGGTGTTGTTTGGTGGCTTGATTTTAGCAGGATTTTATGCCGGCAAATTTTGTCAAACGGGTTGAGAGCACAAAATAAATATGAATCGATGTAAATCATGCATTAATGGATTTATGAGTGTAAATTCGGGATTTATTTATTAAATCCCGCTTTTCAACTGATTTAACGTGATTTTACGAATTTGTGAGGTTCTCCCGTTGGGAGCAATCGAGCTCCCGTCTTGGAGGAGGCCAAGATGGTTACCTTCATAGTGAGCGAGCACCTGATATGATTTCCAATCCGACGTCATCCAAAGAAGTGGCGAAGAAGCTTCTTTAATGACTTTTCACCCACTGCTTCACGAAGGCCGAATAACCACGAAAAGCAACATGGTTACAACAAGGAAGAAATGAAGATGAAAAGCAACCCCAGTGTAATTAGTATAATTAATATCATTTAAAATATTAATAATAAATGAATTATTAGCTAATTTAATTAAGGTTAATTAAATAGTTAGTATAAAAAAAAGTTCCTGAATCATAATTAGTAAAAAACCCATGACAGGAGGAGTTCATATACATTAAAAACAAATATGAAATCTGAAAAGAAACATAGATGAAAAGGATCAGTTCATAGAAAAACCTAATTAGTTGTCGAGACAATTTTTTTAATTAGTATTTTCATTAATTTTTAACGATATTATCCATTTTAATATATTAGCTATATAAAGAGCCTAATATATCATAAATCAATCATAAGCTTTCAATTTTATTTAATTATTAAATCACATATAAATATCCCTAATATCAACTCAATTCCTCAAAATATATACATGAAAAGTAATAATTTAATTTAAAATTTTTGATATTAGTGATATTTTTTATTTAATTTAATGATTTATATATTATATAAACAATATCATAATTTAAATATAGACATATAAATATATAAAAATTATGCTGCGATAATCTATCACAACTTTTTCACTTGTAGTTGGTTGCTTCCATCGATTTTTATATTTATTTTTTTTCAAATTAAATAAAAATATTTCTTTATAAAACATAGAATTTAAAAATATTTATAAAACATAATATTTATTTTATTTATTATTTTACTATTTATTTTTGTTGAAGCCGGGTGTTTAAAAATGAACTTCTCACCGCAAAAAATTTGTAGCAGTCGAAACCAGAGATCGCCAATTGTGACAGCTTCTCTTACGAAGCACGAAACCACGGCGGGCGTGGAGGGACGAAGAGCGAACAGCGGTGAAGGGGACGGAGGAGAAGCATCTGGACAACTTGGAAAGCGCGGGCGGTTGCTGCGATCGAGATTTTGTGTTTGGAGGGATGGAGCTGTGCTCGGAAGAAGCGGTGAGGTTGGTGTGGGAAGGGGCTATTCCTCTCCAGATCCATCTCCATGAATCCGAAGTCACGACTCTACCCCCTCCGCCTCCTGTTCTGGTACATTCCATTTCGTGAGTTTGACCTTTCTCATATTTTGAAATTCTTTGCTGCTCTTTAAATCCAATAGGCATTTTGCAATTTATTATTTCCCTTTGATGCAAATGGGCGAAGAAAGGAAAATTGGAAATTTGTTTGTTTTCATCTCATTTTCTAGGTCTTTGGCATAGGTTTAGACGTTTATTATAACTAGTGTTAAATGGTTTTTGAAAGAAAACACTCTGTCCATTTGTTGAAAGAGATATTGGCGCGATACTTTTTTTTTCGTTGGGATATATCTTTCTAGGAGAAAGAGGGGAAAGACAGATATTGATGGCAGTGTTTTCTTTCTCCGAGGTTGAAATTCAGTTGTATAATATGGATGTCAGACTCGTCTATAAGGTTTAGGCCGGCAGCGGTAAGGTTCGCTTGGCAGCCTTGGTTCTCAATATTGAAGTCTGAATTTAGTTATAAATTGTGGGTTGCGGAAAATTGTGGGCTGATTATGTGCTTTAGCTGGTTATTTAGTGCGTTTTTTCTAATTTGTTGCTTTAGACATTTCTAAGATTGGTCATCTGATTGTAAGTGCAAAATGATAACTTAGATGGTTATTGAAGATTGGGTGCTATTGAAGTTTGTGTGTATATGCCCCTTATTTTGTTAACTTGGAGTTCTCTCTGATGCATGAAGCAACAGAAAGGTTAAAAAATAAATATAAAAATGAAGCAACAGAAAGGTGGAAGACTTGGGGTTATTAACTTTGGGCCAACGTCCACCACAAGACTCCTCTGGCAAATGCTACCAAACCGGCCAACAATACTTTCAAGAGCTTGAGAAGAAAGATACAAGTGGGGTGGAAACTTGTGGAGAGAAGTAGGCAAGAAGCCCAAAACGAAATCAAAGTGAGGGGAAGAGAATTGGAAAAAGCTCGCGAGCTTTCAAAGAAGAAACCCTCAAGTTTTTAGATATCTTCACTCACCAAAAAACAGCTCCTAAATGCCACAAAACAACCTATATTTATAGGTGAAAAGAGGGAGTCAAACAACCCAAACTACCACCCACCAATCCAATCAGAAAAGGGGAGGCAAAAGGCCAACATGCAACGGCTGGAGCATCACCCGAAGGGGTCACGCGGGAAATAGGAACAACCAGCAATCAGAATAGGCGCCAGGGAGGTGGGGAACCGGGCTGGGAGAGAACCGAAAGGCCAAACATAAGGAGGGAATGAATCTGGTCAGCAGTTTAATGAGCTGAAAAAGGCAGCAGCTCATAATAATGAGTTGAAAAAGGTAGCATAACACAACAGCTCCCCAACTAGGCAGTAAAACCCGAAACAATCAAGCCCAAATCAAGGAACCAAATCAACCCAAAAGCCATGACACCAAAGAACTAGCACATCCAAGGCAATGCATGTCCAAGAGCACAATCTACACATGCTCATAGGTTGCCTTCTATCATAGGGTAAAAATAAAATAAAATAAACATAAAATTCAAATTACAATATAATTCAATAAAAATTCAAATTTTGAAATATGCATGCATCATTTGTGAGTTGAATTATGTGACTTACTCGCAGTGCTTCTTTACCTTAGTTGTTAAGCTCATAATGTTGAGTTGTAGTTAGAAAAAATTTCTTATAATTGTCCTTCTTCCTTCATTCGGCAAACAGTTGGAAACAAGATACTTATTTCCGTGATTTGACATACTAAATTAATTAAATAGCTTGTATAACATATGTTAATGAGTGATTGTGTGTGTTTTTGAGAGAGAGAGAGAGAGAGAGAGGGAGAGAGATAGATTGCTTATGGATCTTATTAATATTTGCTTATGATGTGAGGACTTTAATTCCAAGGGACAACTAAAGCTTATGCTAAGGCCCACTTAAAAAAGGGTATATTTGATGCTTTGTGTTTTAGCGGGGCTTCTGCTTCATCATCATCCTCATAATTATTAACCTTATCCCAACTTTTTGTGGTTGGCTTTATGAATCTTTTTTCTGCATGCATCCACATTATGTGTTGAGCAAAATATCAACTCTAATTTGTGAAATTTTTTTCTGTGCAATCTCTTAACTTTACTCTATTATGATTCAGTGTTTTGAGGCCCTACCAATGCTTGTTCTCTATTGCACTTGTAATACTCCGAGTTTAATAAAATGAATTAATAATTTTCTTTTATATTTGAAAAACAATTAATATAATATTATTCAATTTTAATAACACTCATTTAGTTAGTGCAATATTTTTTATGAAGTTCAACTAATGAAGAAGGCGAAGAAGCAGAAGAAATAAATGGAGGGGAGATGAGAAGGCGAAGAAGCAGAAGAAATAAATGGAGGGGAGATGAGTTTGAAGAAATGTGAAATCAGAAGATGTAGATTTAAAAAAAAAAAAAAAAAAGCTACGGTGAAGATGATTTAGGGGCAGAATTACACGCGACTTCTCAACTACTTGGAATGGAAGCGACTCCTTCACCTTCTTCGGCTTTCAAATTAATTAATACATCATTACTTCATTAATGCAACAACTTTATAGGAATAAAGGTATAATTATTAATTAAATATAATTATAATGATTAAAATGAAAGGTTGAGATTTGATTTGAATAATTAAAATTAATTAAAATGGAAGTCCAAGATTTAATATGGGTGGAAACTCAAGCCCCATTTATAATAGTAGTATAGATGTGTCTTCATGCATGAAAGTCTTTTGTAAAGTGTCTTACATCTTTAATTTATGCAAATTTCTTTAAAATTTGTATAAATTCATACATGCTAAGCTTACACACTTTTTCATTTTCTTTGTCACTTCTTATTTTTCCAAACCAAGTGTTTTTCATACATAAATCAAACTTCACCTATAAATAAGAGAACAACATGACTCTTCTTCATGTAAAAATAATTTTTGTGAAGTAAGATTTATGTTGAGATGAGAGAGAAAGAGAGCTCTTAGGATTAGAGTTGTTGGAAGGAAGAAGAAAGCTAAAGAGAGAACAGAAGAATTAGAGAAAAAAGTTCTAGAAAAACTTTGGAAGACTTCTAAAATTTTTGTAAATCATAAGGATTCATAATCTATTCCTTGTTTGTGAAAATTCTTCTACGTTCATCAAATTCTGATAGGCAGAATGTCTATTATTATTATCCACTTTAGTTTATGTTAATGTAAGTTTTGTAGCATGATTTTGAATTTAGTTACTTATGCAATATTTCTTTTCTCTAAACATGTGCATTATTTAGAAGCTATTTAATATTTATGTGAAGAAGATCATCATGAAATTTATTAACTTGATACAACAATAACAATAACATCAAGCTTTTATCCCATTACGTGGGGTCGGCCACATGAATCATTTTTTCTCCATTGTGTTCTATTAAAAGTCAAATACTCATTTAAATCTAATAAAGAAAGATCATTTCTAATATTTTCTAACCAAGACTTTTTAGGTATGCCTCTACCTATCTTAACATAAGTCAAATCTAATGTCTCTACTTTCCTAATTGGGTCATCGAAAGGCCGTCGTTTTATGTGACCAAACCATCTAAGGTGCTCTCTCTAATCTTATCTTCTACCGGAACTACTCCAACCTTTTCACATATATGCTCATTTCGTAACCTATCTCTAAGGGTAAAGCCACTCATCCACCTGTGCATCCTCATTTCTGCCACACTTAACTTAGTATTATGCTTCTCTTTTAATGGCCAACATAGATTTTTAATAGACATAACAACAACAACATCAACATCAAGCCTTTATCCCACTACGTGGGGTCGGCTACATGAATCCTTTTTCTCCATTGTCTCCTGTTAATAGTCAAATTATTATTTAGATCTAATAAAGAAATGTCATTTCTAATATTTTTTAACCAAGTCTTTTTAGGTCAATTTTAATACATCTACTCTCCTAGCAGGATCATCGGAAGGCAGCCGTTTTACATGACCAAATCATCTAGGACGACTCTTTCTAATCTTATCTGTCATTGGAGCTACTCCAACCTTTTCACGGACATGCTCATTTTGTATCCTGTCTCTAAGAGTAAATCCACTCAACCACCTGAGCATACTCATCTCCGCAACACTTAACTTAATATTATGTTTATCTTTTAATGCCCAACATTATGCACCATAAAGCATTGCCGGTTTCACTACCATCTTGTAGAATTTTTTCTTGAGTTTGAGAGGGACTTTTATATCACATAACAAGCCCGATGCATTCCTCAACTTCAACCATCCAACTTGAATTCTACTAATAATATCCCTATCTATTTCACTCTCACTCTGAACAATAGACCCAAGATATCTAAAACGTGTACTCTTATTAATGAGGATCGCCCAAAGTCATATTCCCCCACTAGATCTATTATTACTTAAATTACACTCCATATATTCAGTTTTAGATCTACTCAAACGAAAAAATTATGTAGCTAACCCCACATAGTGGAAAGGCTTGATATTGTAGTATATAAGTTTTTAAGAATAATATTTTTAAGTAATAATAATTTTTTTAATTAAGAAATAAATTATTTCAATAAGAAAGTACATATACGTACATATGTTTAAATAAGAAGTAAATTATTTTTATATTCTAATAGAGATAATGTAAAGAATAAGAATTTAATGCAAATAAAGTAGATTATGAAATATCAATTAATCATTCTGATTTGAAATTATAAATTATATTTGAAGTAAGAAAGAATTATTAAATAATTAAATTTTGAGAGTACAAATAATCTTTTAAAATAATATTTTGATTTAAAATAAGAAAAATTTTGTGTATGCTAAATTACACATGCATGTTTATAATTAAGGTTACATTTTAAGTAACTACTTCTATAAAAGCCTTTGTGTTCAATCGTGTTATATAAATATATGTTTGAGAGCTTTTAGCTCCATTTAAGTCTGATATGAGGTCCTAGGAACCTTAGCTTACTATTTATTTTGGTCAACTTGAGTATTGTACTCAATCTTGATATTCTGACATGTTTGCCCTATACTACTAATTATATAGGTACAAAAGCAAAAACACACACACTCACAAAAGATATTATTTCAAGTAAGCAAAAGTGAGTGCATATGAATATAAGCAATAATGATCAACGCATATTTTTATGTTTAAGTATAATGGCATTTAAGCTCTATTGAGTTTTATAACTTTTTTTTTAATATGATTTTCATATTAATCTGCAGGACATGAAAGTCATCAAAGATAAATAAATATTTACCATGCTTAGTATTCCATTGTATGAGTAGATGACTTTGTCTATGCGGAAATTGGACTAAACTATGAGGTAAATATGCAAGGTAGTGTTCATCTTAGCATGATTCAACTCAGAGTAGGATTGGCCTAGGTAGGGTTAATAATAAGTTTGTGTATTCAATATCTTTTTGGACAAAAAATGTGGCCAATAATTGGTTTAGCATGGCAACTTTTTTCTTGTATTCTTATATTTGGTTACTTTTGTAACAGATCTCACCTTGTCTTAGTAGAATTATTGGCCACAACAAATTTGAGTGGGTACTTCTTTAGGCTTAGAATGGGTGTTATCTTCACCACAGATGGATCTGATTTGCTGACTTCATGTCTACTCAAATAAACCTTGCGATATAGCTTCTCAAGGACTCCTTGTTCTCTTGCTTAGGATATAGGATAATATGCACCCCCTTGAGCAACCTCCTAGAGCTAAGAAATTGAGCGTTATCAAATTAATCAAAAGAAGATATAATACTTGGGAGTAATATACAAAACAAGCTCTAGGAAGAATCCTAGAGTGGTGTTAGAAACACTTTGTACTCCAAAAGGAATCCTTGAGTGTATGGCATCATTGCATATTTGAAACCTGTTAAATGCTCTACTAGATCTTAAGGACACTCGAACTTTGGCTGCATTGGCTCCTCCAATATCTCCTCATATATGAATGTTGAGGTGAACAATAAGATGTCGCCAGTTAAGAAATTTAGATGTGCTCATTCACAAATCACTATCCTTTTGATGCACTTGGTAAAGTATCACCTGTATGTATCTGCTTATTACGATTTATTCATATCGTTTATGTATCTGCTTATGTCAGTGTACACTAACATTTTTGACATGCCCATCTGTTTCAATTTGCACATTGTAGCGTTTTAAACCTACTGAACAGTATTTGCTTGATTCGTCTTTATGTAGCTCTTTTAGAGTTTTAATTCTGTTTTCAGATTTTAGGTCCACGTATTGGATATTTGCCGTTATTGGTGACCGTTATAAAGCCTCATTTTAATGACACTTTGCCACCTGGTGTTGACTCGGTTTGGTTCGACTATAAAGGTTTGCCTCTTAAATGGTATGTTGATTATTTTTTTTAGTATTGTCCTTAATTTATTTTTGTTGTTTTTTTCGTTTCAAGCTCATACTTAAAATATTCTATATTATTAGTTGATCATTAAACCCATTAGCTTGTTATCCATATGATGAAAACTGTAAGTTGGAATTTAATCTAAAACTACGGAAGGCAAAAGGCTGATCAAGTTGAAAGTTCTGCCGTTGGAGCTATCAAACATTTTCTGATGTCGAGATCTACTTTATTATCTCATCCGCTATGTATGTTATCATACATTTCTGCATGTTTATAAATATGCAAAGCGGGTTGGTGCATCACAATATCACATTATTGTACGCACATTGCTGGACATGTCAAGATTGGTGATTTTTGAAACCTGTTAGACAAACTGAAGCTATCTGAGACACGCTAGGCTGCACAATGCCCAACTTATCTGATTATTTGGTGTATTTTGAATGTGTTTTCATCTTGACAATATGTAATGCATGAAACAATTTCTCTATAAATTTTTTATTTCATCTATCTGATCCTGATTTTGTGATTTATTTCTGTTATGATGTCCCCTTTCGCTGGTATGCTTTTTTTTTTTTGTCCTTTTTTTCTCAGAAGGTTGCTTCATTTTTTTTTTTCCTTTTACAGGGTTTATTTGTTTAAAAACCTGATTTGTTTTATAATCTGCTATAATTCCAATACAAGCAACTTTATTGATATCTTCAATCGTACTGTAGCCCTTTGCAGCTCTTGGGTATAAAAAATACTTTTCACTGTTTGGCTTGGATATTTCATTATTTTCTGACACGGCGATAGTACACATCCCAGTTATAGCATTTTAGTGCTATTATTGCCGTCAATGCATATAGCTCTCACTGATTTGCTTGATTGATTTGTTTGAGTTCCTGTGGTGATGTATCAACTTCATTTCCCCCCTAGTTACGTATGAATATTATTGTTGATTCATTTTATGATGCTTTTTTTTTTTCTTGAAGCTTTCTGTTCTTTCTTTGAAGTCATATATTGAGGTTAATAGCCATATAAGATTTAATTAAAATAATTAAAAAAAAAAAACTTAGAACCATTGGCTTGACTTGCACAATGTTTTAAGATTTGAACTTGTGACCTTTCATATTACGAAGGAGGCAAAGGTTTTACAGTGGAAGCTAAATGAATAAGCTGGTTTTGATGAGTTTGTTAATCAACTTGAAGATTGACAGTAGCCATGTAGATTTACCTTGGTTTATGCTGTCACGACCCGTAGCTCGCGAGGGCGAGGCGGGAACAGAGGTCGGACAGGATGAAAATAAAAAAACTTCACAATAAACATTTAACATATCTCCAAAAAGTACCAAACATAAGGGAAGAGCCACTACAAAATCTCTAAACATAAACTTTTCTTTTTCTTTAATTCCAAAACACCAATAGATGAATTTAACATTAAGTTTACAAAATACAAAAGGGGATCCAAAATCTTTTTTTTTTTCTTAGTTATCATTTCTAAACCTTCTATACAAAATATCAAAACTCAAAAGAACCTGCCGCCCGTCGTCTCCCTACGACGGTAAGTGCGCGGTGGTTGGTCTGCCATCTATCCTTTCTTAGATCTTCCTGAAAAATGTTCCCACAACGAAGGTGAGTCATAAACTCAATAGGTGTGAATGGAATTCAAATTTAGAGCCAATAAAAGAAAACTAAATCATGCTTGAATGTTATAATAAAAGAACCATCAACATAAAGAAATATTGCTTTGAGGAAATGCATACCTTTACCTCAACTTTCAAGTGCTTTTTTCCTTCATAACATTTTCATTTTTCCTTTAACATTTTGCCTCATATGATAGTCTCAAATGCATAACATGAATATGAAATGTTCTTAATAGTTTAACATGTAAATATAACACCCGTCTCGAGAGTGTCACTTGTACTGATTAGGTACATAAAATTTGGACATTTCCTTTACCATTGGTTCATAGGAACCATCCTTTACCATGGCTCATAAGAGCCTCCTTTACCATGTGATACTCCCGCGTCAACATGCACATACACTTATTACATATATAACCATAAGAGATACTTTATGTAAACCATTCATAAATTAA